GTCAAAACTTTTCAAATTAAATTTTTTTTCATTATTTCGTATGCATTCTTTTCTTTGCTGCTTAGCAACGTCACTTTTCAAGTGAAAAGCGATCATAAACGCAATCTTCAGAATGGTTTCACTCAAAAGGACCAATATTGCATTTCTGACCATTTACAATATTTTCGGCTAAAAACGAGCGCTATGATGTTTGGTTTTCTTCGGGATTAGACGAGGAAACTGTATCTTCTACAAGCTATGAGTGAAGAAAATGTGGAATGTTTTATCGTGGTGGTTTTACTTTCTTTACTTTCGCTATTAATCATTTTTGGACACACTTTGATGTTGATTGTACTGTGGAAAGATCCATTCAAGAGATTCCGTACAGCGGCCACCACATTCGTTTTTGGAATGGTGTTCGCTAACTTCTTTAGTGGTTTGGGTGCGGGTCCGCTTTTGTCGATTGAGATCAGCTCTAGGTATGGAGCTTTAGATCTTTCGGGTAAAGAAATATTGTCTAACGCTGGCTTCTTTCTATTTTATTGGACCACAAGCGTGTCGTATCTGTCGATGCTGGGTTTATCGTTGTGTCAATACATTGGCGTGAAGATGCCTCATAAACAACAAGGCCTCGTCACCAAAAAGACAACAGGAATTGCTCTCGCAATCATTACGTGTAGTTCCTTGTTTATCCCTTTTTTGCTGGTGATGGGAGTCTCTTTCTCAATGGTAGATGTATTACAACTACACATTGCATTTCAACCCAGCAATTTTCTTCTCTGTGCAGTTTATGCCGCACTCGGGAAGGAATATCTGCGCCAGGTGAAACGCGCCATAGATTGTATAAGCTCCAACGCAAGCTGTGTCCGCGTGAGAGACAGAAATTTTACGCGAGCCAATCTATTATTGCTTGCTACGGTTACGGCTCTTGGTGTGCCGATAATGATTGTATGGCACATCTCAGTGTACGGGCAGAGACTATTTCCCACGGATAAGGGTTTACGAACAGCATGGTCGACTACTATCATCATATTTTTCTTCAAAATAGCTCTTGACCCACTTATTTATTGTTTAAGACTACCGGTATATCGAAGGGCGCTCAAACGCATCTTTGAATTTAGACAGCATCGAGTAAGCGACGGCTGATAATCTCATGATGTACAACTCAACATGGCGCTTACGTTCCGTGTCATTATTATCTATATTTTTCATTCCTAGAAGAAGGCCGCGTTGTGGTATTAATCTTCATGAACGTCATCATTTAAAATGCAAAATCTTTTATCATTGATTAGACTTCTCTGGAGGGAAACAGCATAATAAATTTCATTAACTCTCTATGCTTGTTTGAAGGGTTTCTTCTCATAAAATCTCGCAAAAAATAGTGCTAACCAGCCTTCCACAAGTAGTGTTTTGATTTATTTTAAATTTTATCTCTACACACAATATCGCCTTCAGAATTGACTTATCAGTACTGAAGAGGCTATTAAGCAGTTATACAGTTGAGATTTCTTCTCAAAGTCTTTTATCATGATGGATTGTACACTAATGGAGTCTGTGAATAGGAGATAGACGAGTCATTTCCAAGAAAGGAACATTTTCACGCACTGACGATTATTATGTAAGAGTTTCGCACACAAAAGATCAGTATCTCAACTGTAGTAGAGGCTACTAATAAAAATACACTTATGGTGAGTGCTTTTAATATGAAACTATTATCTAATGAATTCTGTTTAAAAAAATGTGGTTCAGATTTCTATCGGGATTTCGATTTTCTCTCCAGCATTCTAACCCCATCAATTCCGCTGCAACTGTTTCTTAAGCGAAATTAGCGCACGAAAACACAGTTTAGAATATTAAATTTGCCCTCCCGGACTGTTCCAGAAACATCCAAACAACAAAATATTGCGCACAAGTCCTAAAAAAATCGTGAAAAGCAACATCATATTGTACATATCCTCCTGTTAACCAAAACAATTTACTTTGATTTCCTTTATCCTCATTCCTCTTAAAGCTAATGTCATCCGATCTTTCAAGAGCACTATTAGGAATTCTGTGCTTTCCTCAAGAGATAGGATTTTAATCATTGTAAATCACATTTATACATATGAAGCATGAACCATTAAAATTTCGTTTCATTACAAGGGACTAATGTATTGATTATACTTCCTGATGAGATCAAGCTAAAACTTTGATGAACTATATATTTTAGTGCTTGAACAACGTCCTACGTCACAACTAGTGCACCATTTAGAAGCCTTTATTACGGAATAACTTAAAGCAGCAGCTGAACAGATCGTCTCCGATAAATGCTTAAAATAAAATACCTTATTAGAAAAAGCGTCAGTTAATTTGGCGACTCTCATTTTGCCCGAATTTTTCTGTTTCCTATTGTTTTAGAGTTCATTCATTCTCATTTGTGAAGCTTCTCCTTAAAGCTTATTGAAAGCAAATTATTTTACACTGTGAACTCTCGGAATATTAAAATTGCTAATTTGAAGAGTCAAAAATTTGAACGACTTATGGTTTTAACAAAACTTAGAGATCGTGTCTTGATACATGAAAATAGAGATAACCTTTTTGCTGATGAAGAAGAATTCTACGCAATCTAAAAAAGGGAAAAGTCGCTTAAGAGTAAATATAGATGCCAAGTTATTCACATGACACGAGGGTACTTATACTAGTTAGTAAGAAATCATCAATTCCTTTTCAGATTATCTGATTGAAAAAGTCGGTGATGTACACATGTTGGAAACATTTCGGACCGGATTATGATAAATCATACGAGAGCACTCGATCTTTGGAAAGCCTGCTGCGATTGTAGGTGATTTGTCTTCAATGTTTCCTGAACGTGATCTTCTCTAAGCACCCTTCACAGGACAACATGCAATTATCGGCGTAAAAACTAGTGATGTAACAGCAGGATAATTTCCTCTGTTGATTTTACACTTGAAATAAAGCTCAGTGGTGCAACTAGATCATAAGAAAAGAATTGAAAAAAATATATGATGATATGTAGTCAAAATGAACTAAATACAAAATACATATAGTCTCTAAAAGTAAGCGGATTTATGTGCGTGGATATGGACGTGTGTGCGAGTTTGTTTTTCTTCTGTTTTTACATATTTCATTGATTATTGCCTTCTTCACGTTGCTGTAGAAGTTTAAGACTACTAAACTTATAAATTAATAAATATCTCGATATTTAACTTCCCGTTGCCAACATGGTAGGGAGTTAGCTCTTTAACGGATGATTACGCTGGTACAAACTCTGAACATTAGCTCCCTTTGGAATGCAAGTTCAAATCTGTTTGTAAATGAAATCATACACTTTCTTTTTTCTCTCTAATTTTCTTTGTTTTCGTTACCTGTAGAATGGGTAGAATGTTGTTTAATGTAATTAAAGGACAGGTTGATGTTGGTTTTCGGGAGAATAAACCTTTTTTTGCATGTTACATCTAGGAACTCAGAAAAAAATCTTGTGCACTGCATGTGACTTGCTGCATGCATAAATAAATGGGTTGAGAGGAGACCATTACAACTTATTTATCATATTTTCAATTAAGTTGGTTAAGGAAATTTTACCTTGGTCAAGAAAATGTTACATTGGTCAGTGAATTTTACACTGGTCAGTAAAAGGTCATCAAGAAGTGAGGGAATTTAAAAAACCTATTGGCTAGATAGGTAGGTACATAATCTTTGTTTATCCACAGTCGTTTCAAGAGCGATTTTAAATATTTATCTACGTATACGTACAAACTTAAAAAGGCGTAGAAATGATAAAAAGGATGAAGTCTGTAAAGCCCTTCGGGCAAATGACTGAGGTCTTCTTCGGTAAGATAACTGACACTAGCTGTGGAACGAAACCCGTTCTCCCCAATATCAGCTACATATTTTAGCGAATCAAGATCTACTTCGGCCGGAACCTCTTCAATATTTCTGCTATCAGTCATCATTCTTTTCTTTTCTTTCGTCCTTTGAATAATAACTCGCCGTGCAGCAATGAATGAAAACGCTACGGTTGGACGAGAAAACTTTGACGTTTTGCTGTCAAAACTTTGAAGTTTGTTATTTATCTTATTTTATTTATTTAGCTTCGCCCCAACTAGAATACGATACTCATATATATAAAAATATGGGCAGGAAGACCACTTCATCCTAGCTAGCTAACCACATTGAATCCACCTTAACAAATATAAACAACCAAAGCTACACATATTTAAAAGAGAAAAAATAAAAAAAGAAGCATGTTGAAATTTCCAGAAGCAGCAGGATGGTGGGCATAGGAAAGGACTTGCTATGTTGCACCTAACACAGATTGTTCTCCAGGCTCTAATGTCGTCAACGTCTTACAGATCTAAAGTCTTATTGAAATATGAGGTAATGAACGTTTAAATGAAGTTAGAAGGAGGCAACTGGTGCGTAACTAAGCGGGCAGGCGCGTATGGAGTCAAAAATGAACGTTAATAAGTAACAGTTCTACTTCGCTTAGGGATATAAGTAAAAGCATTGCTTCTCCATGACCGAGTATATATCGTTATTTGTCTAGTTACAGGTAGAACTTCACAACCTTCGAAAACTGAGTTATTCAATGGATTAAAGAAAGAGAAAATATGCGGAAATTCGTGCCATTGTGAGATATTTAACAGATTTGTTAGTTGGAGAGAAGGGAAGCTTTAAAATTAGTTTTGTTACGCGCCGCTGCACATTTCAACTCGCTTAAGTAAGCCGATAGACTGTGACGATCATACTTCGACATCCATGTGATTTTGACCGAATCTCTTCTATTTCGAGCCTGTGATTGATCGCGAAAAGTTCTTGGTATCGCAGACGGCAGCACTGTGTCCAACCTCCAGTCTAAGCCGTAGCGAACTCCAAGAAATTCAACCGAGAGAGCGCTGAACACTGGTTACCAGCTTTTAGGCGATTTCATTAAAAACATGGCGGACAAACGTGGGTTAACTTCTTCGTTTCTGTTGTGATGTTGCCCTCTTTGAAGTTAGGACCTTTACGAGGTAGAATAGTCGTGAAATTCCTTTACAAGACTTTTATTTCTCTATTTTTAGCAATGATCTGCAACCTTTTTTAATCCTTGAGGTATATCAGTGGTAATGTTTTCCCTGGCTCACGGTTTACCTCATGGATCGATTATGATCGCTTATCTGTAAATAACTGTTCATTTTTACTAGGAATACTTAGTTATTCTTTGATTACCTAGGTTAACAACGTGACCATTCAGCGTGTCCCTGGGAAAAAGATGGAAACAAAACGTCTGTTTGTTGGAGGGCTCTACAGTGGTATCAAAGAGGTTGATTTACGGTATGTTCTACTTATAATTTCGTCACCAGGTGCACAACGTATAGTATGTTCATGTCGGATTGACCAAGTCTGAATTCTATTTAAATCAATTTATCTCAGGCTTCACTTTCACAACTACCTCAGTTGTATTCAAAACTGAAATTATATTTCTTTACTGAATCGCTCTTCGGTATTTTCTAAGATATATGATAAAGGTTGATTTGGAGCTTTTCTTCATTAGTTGGCTCTCATTTACCACAGTCTCCGAGCCTGAGTTTGAATCAGTCCGTTGTTGGTATAAAGAGGAAACTAAGAATAGCTTCAAATTTTTTTTTTACCCGAGATAGTATTTTATTGCACTTGTACATGGTTCAAAAAGGATCTCTTGAACTCTCTTGTGCATACAAAAACCTCAAGTAAGCTATCTATTTTAGCCATTCTTTTTGTGGCTTTTTACTCTAAACTTCTTCCATTAGTTACTCTACGCTGCTGCACTGATCTTTGCTCTATAAAATATGTGCCCTAACCGAACCCCCTCCCCCCTTCCCTGGCTGTCACTGCGTATTATTCATACTGTAGTATTTGTGTTTGATATATATTAACTAGATAACAGAATTTCTCAATAATATCTTTACAGCTCATAGTGAACATATCCTTTAAAACTTTCCTTAAATGCTTGAGGATACAGTGTAACAAATTGTCTTTGCAATGACTCTGTTACAGTTAACCCTTTAACTCCAAGATCTGAAACTGTAATTTCTCCCCTCTAACTGCTACACATTTCATAGTAAATTGGTGAAGAGAATTTGATGTTAGATCAAGATAGCAATTGCTAGCTGTTAAGTTTGAAAATTCTCATGAGTTGTTTGCTGGATAATGTATGGATAATATAGGAAGAAAATGCATGTTAATCACCTTTGAGAGTTAAAGGGGTAAAATGGTGCTTTGACTTCTCATGAAGGACCTCCTTTAGTTCACGAACATTTCAATGTTTTAAATTCTTCTCTCATTGGCTAACATGTGCTAGATGTTATAAACACTGGTATATGAAAATAATTCTTAGCCACACTAAGCCGTCTACATATTATAATTATCCTTTAATGCAACATTTCAGAGATCGCTTCAATACTTTTGGTACTGTATCATCAGTTGAAGTTATACAAAGAGCAGATGAAAATGGTATGTAAATGAATCATTTGTATTTCTATTGCTGAATTGTGGGAGATCTTGCAGCACGTGTCTCACCTTGTCATAACCGTTTCACCCCTAAGAGCGAGTAGCTTCCAATTTCTCACTTGCAATTATCACCCCAGAATCACAGGGGTCAAGGTCACAAGCATAAGGGAAATGATCACCAACTTAAGAAGAGCTAAATTGTTCAAAAAATCTCCTTGTCAACACCTTGGTAAATGTA